TACATAACACCATGGTTAGATGGTTGGAAGCGATTAACAGTAAACCCTAAACCTAAATTTCGTGCATGCTGACGCTCAAATATACCTGTAATATTGAATAAACCGTTGTTTCCTGTGGGATTTAAATACACTTCACTCAATATCACAGTTAAGGGAGTAATAATTTTTCCAAGTGAATGACTTAAATTCATCATTGATTATTCTAATTATATAACTTGTTCAGGACAAACATTATATTAGTTAATACTCCTTATCCAACTAATCACATTTAGAACTTTTGAATACAATACATCGTTGTCTTCATCCTTACATTGTATAATCTTACTACATGCAAGATCAAACACTTAATCATAATCAATATAAAGTTTTCTAGAAATAAATGGATAATAAGAAAGTATCTTTTGCTTACTTCTTCTCGTACTATTACTGTTGATTTCAAAGCACAATCCTATTTTCATATTCATTTAATATGTAGATTTTTTTTTCTAATAAACAATCGTTCGAAATTTTATTTGCTTTTTCTTATAGTTCAGTTTTATGTTTATTTTGTACACTTATGTAATTCATAAAAGTTTCATGGGAATATTTAGTTAAGTTTAATATTTTATAAATTGAAGCGAAAACTGAGTTAAAACTGAAACCAAACAGTTGTGATTAAATGCTAAAACTTGTAAACTGACCCAGAAGTCACTATCATGTCTGACGATTGTTTAACTGGTAATTTGTATCTTGGGTTTGTAGTAATCCCCCTAGGTGTGATAATTGTTAAAAAGTCAATAAGTGTTAGTAAACCCAAAAATACAACTAGTGTACTCGTGTATCATTTTGATTTATTTCCGTGGTTAAATAAATTAATATCAGAAGTCTTTGGATTTTTATTATGAATCACTGGTTGCAGGATTTTCAATATTAACCACGAGTCAGTTAGCATTTTGGAAGACATAAACCATTTGTAAATTTCAGTCAAGTCAATTTATTTAAGTTATCTCAGTTTATCTCATTACAATTACTTATTTCTGTTGTGCTTGTTGGTAACTTTTTGATTTCCAAAATACCCGAACAGAATACGACTTTTTAATTATTTCCATTTTGAATTTATAAACCCTTGAATTAAGTGTTATCAGACTTGCGCGTTAATTGACTAGTTACCGTGGCCACCCTTAGAAAAATAAATATGTTTTTTTATGCATTACTGTCAGTTGGAATGACGAGAAATACCATTTTATTTAAAAAAAAAATACTATGGGCGTTGAGTCAAGAGTTATCGAAGTAGCATACCATAATTTCAGGTGAAGATTTATTGAGTTACATTCACCAATCAAAATTAAATATTTCGATTTGCGTAGAATACCGAGTCGGGTCATAATAATGTTGTTTGTAGTTTCTCACTTTGTCATACATTTTGTTCAGCAATATTAAATAATTATTTTACAATAGGAAATTGTCCATACTTTCCATTTCAAATCGATTGAATTCGTTAGATAAGCTTATAAATGTATCATTTACAGTAGTGTTAAGTACTTAATATGTTTAAACAACTGTTACTGTTAAACCGTGACCACATCTTTCTTATACACCAACTGATCATTTTATCAAGTTTCCGATTATCGCATCTTTTCTTCCATCATCTGATCTGATAAAAAAATACTACATTAAATTAATCACAAAATTAAATTTCTTGACCTCATCCAATGTCCTTGTATACCTTTGCATTTAACCAAAAAAAATGAATGAAAACTCAGAGTAAGACACAATTTGTAAACAATGAATACGTTCCAGCCGACCTCGTGCTATTCGAAGTTCGTCATATTTCAAAAACGGCACATTTATGTATACGTTCATATCAGATAGTGATTAATGACCAGTCAAAATAATCTGCGATTGTGGTATCTGAAATTCGTGAATTCAACAGGTCCAAATATTTTATTGGATAGCCATTTGATTTAAATAAACTATTCAAAAATCATTTAAATGACGTAAACATTACCTTTTTGACTTTGTACAAAAGTTAGAAAATGACTGACTTATACTCTGTCCATTTGATAATTTCAAGATTATTCAATGCGTCGTCTATAAACGTATGCATTATTTAGCATTCCAAGTTCTTAACATTATTAAAATGTGACTAACTAGTCATGTGAGCTGGTCTACCAACAACATTCCCACATATGGGAAGAAAACACATCGATCAGATTATTTTTCTTTTTAAAGCTATCTTCATTTTATATTTACTTACCGCATTTTTATTGTTAATATAACAGAATTCAAAAGATCGTAGGGAAATGGCCAAACATAATCAATTTTCTGCCAAAGTAGCATAAAAACTATTAAAGACTGCTTAACATATAAGGAAGTAATTTATCAGGGATAAAACGGATTAATTCTCATGTACGTCTGCTTAAAGGACAGGAAAAATTCTAATTGTTATCTACTGCGATTAATTTTTATTGCATCTAATCGCGTATATATATATATAATATATATATATATATATATATATATATATATATATATATATATATATATATATAATAGTTCTTGCTAGTTGCAAGAACTGTGGGAACCAGGACAAATGTCCTATTAGCAAGTCATCGCTTTGATCTACTGCTCCTCGGCATATATGTTTACACTGAGTCTTTAGACGTAGATGCGTTATCTACGCAGTCATTGAGTCCAGATAGTCACTAGCTTGTTCAATGTATATGAATTTTAGTTTGTAGGGGATCGTATTTTTCGTTGATGTTAATGACACAGGTTCGATATACCAACAGTAGTATCTATTTGCTGGAGATTCCAAATACTCTTACATGAACATAGTGATCGTCAGTGCTGCTAAATGTATGAGGTCAATTGCGTTTATTGGTTGTCCATACCGTAGAAGGATGGTTCTCCTGGAGGAGCCTAGATAGGAAATAGCGTTAAGTGGTCTTGTTGACCTGACAGCCTGAATGAAGAGCTTGAGAAACGTTTTAAGTCCGGTCACACGAGATTGTTGTGAGTAGTTCCAGATGTGCTGGCTCCCATTTTTTAAGTCATTTGTGACTCAAAGTGAAATGTAGTATCTCTAAGGTTGGCTATTTTTTAACCCTCCGTTTTGAGTAGTGATTATATCATAACTTGATAGAAATAAATCAAAAATAAGGTATAAACAGTAAGGCACTAACTATCACCAAGTGATCAATTACAATAATTTCTCAGATGAATTCGATTGGTTTCTAATACATAGTAAGTTGTCAACCATTAGAGGTTTCATTATAGAGAAAAAAGCAAAGACCGTAGATAAAGATTTATTATGCACCAAAAATAGATTAAAATACGATAATTAACAAATGTAATTAAACTACTGAGTTATGTGATTACTCTTTCCTAACACCTCTGCCTTTTTTAAGTCTGGAGATGTAGATGTAGGTTTCAACTTGAAAATTAACTGTCCCCCTTTATAACACATCTAATGGTTAAACGAACTGCCAAAATATATATGTAACTGTGATATTATCTGGTTTCTTAAGTTAGAACTAGAAGCCTTGAACTTTGTAAAATCTGGATACAAACGGGGGATATTGCGTATTTTTGCTTACACAACTGAACACAAGAAATCTTACTTATACACCTGATTCCTCAAGTTTTGACTGCCTCGAATGAACAATGGTAACGTACCCTCTAGTTCTTTGTCCTCTGAATTTTCGTCAGTTGAGAGAATTGACGTGATCGAGTGTATGGCTTCATTCCTTCACACTTATCTATTAACAATGTGCTACGGACCAAACATAAAGCTTAATATCATAGTTCCTATCAATTGTTAACTTGATTAAATTGTAACAAAAACTATTGCAATACATGTAGTTCTACCATAAGCTGCATACATCACAAACAATTCAGGCATGAATGTATTCATAGCTTATGAATTTCATTTCTTAAGAGATGTAACTTGGCGACCTAAACAAAATTCAGCCCAATCGTACTAGTTATGATTGGCTCAGGTATACTCAAGTACTGAGAACGTTTATTTCAGTAAAAATAGACACAATCGACTGGTCACTAAGTAATGACCAATGTAATGTTTGTTCAATTCCCTAACATTGATTGAATTCTACGGATCTAGTTTCAGTAAGCCAACCAACCTGAATGACTCGACTCAACACAAAACACATCATGGTAGGTGGTTGGTGACTAACATGAAACTTTGGACAACAGCCAATACACAGTGAACAATCAACTTTGACTACTACATTCTTACAGTTCAGCTGCAACCAGACTAGTTCAGTGGGAACGTCGCAATTTGTAACGTCGAATAACCTATGTTTGGATCTCACAGAGTCCTTGTTCTCTCAATGATCCGAATGTCTTATTGACGAATGCTGATCCGGAAGGCACCGACGTCTAGCGGTATTTACTGGCAACCGCCTCCAATCATCTGACAGCCGAGTTAAATGTCTGACGAACTAGATACCACTGCCTTCACATACAACACTCATTCAGCAGGACGACGCAATCCTAAAGTACATCTACACTCAATTTATCATTTCGAAGATATGAAAGCGATAAGCCTCTGTATCGAGTGGTAATTGGTCAATAGGTAGACTAGCAATATAATGATTTTTTTAACTACCGACAGTGTATTAAAAATAAAGTTGCCTATATCGATACGGCAACCTTCGAACTTTTTGAGGCGCTAAGGCTAGTTTGAGAATTAAGGCAGCGCTATCACTGCATCACCTTGTATATAAATTAGATGATTTACCTTTACCACGAGTGACCTCTAGTTGCTATCTTTGGACACGAATTGGCGGGACCGCTGACGTAATACACCACTTTAGTGGCGGGAGGACTAGCTCAATGATATTACTGAGACATGGGCAGAACACAATCTTTCCATCAAGCAAATGAAGGAAATTCTTACAACCTAAACGCATCGGTCGGAAACACTGACATGCTCTTACGTATTATCTTACACAAACGATATTATCAACACCTAAAGTGCTATAAAGAGAACAAATACTCAGGATACACATCATTTTTTTGGACGTTTATTTTTAAAGAATCTGAATAATAACAAATGAGAATAAGAAAGCTTGAAGATAATAGGAAACACTAAAGATTTGTTGCGACAAATTAGTTAGCAAGGTGTTAGGTACCGAAACCAGTAAGATAAACATAAAAGATAATGTAGACATTCGAGACTAAATGATAAAGGTAATATTTACAATGGACAGCATTCATGGAATGAACAAGAATTACTAATGGTAAACTACAATTGGATAAATATACTACGTGACGTCAGGAAGTGAGAAATGAGGAAACCTAATTTAATTTCGGGAGTTTGCACCCCACTACACTGGAAGACAGATGAAGTGCACTTAGGGCATGAACACATGGGAACTAAAAGCATTTACACTTTTTGTGGACTATATCCGAAGTAATACATCAATTAATATGAAGACTACATTTTAAAAGACAACCAGCTCTGAGTTCGAATAAAATACCTACAAATGAATGGATGACAGGCACAGCCTGAACGAAAGTCATAAAACCTAAAGATTTATATCACAGGCAGCAAACCGTAAAAACTTGTCCGATATTAGCTACGTATGCCATTTGAAGGTTAGCTTCGGAAGAAAGTACGCATATTTTTAATTACAAAAATAATTCGAAATGTTAAAAACAAACGATTCAAGGCACAAACTGTGAGTACAGATATCGCATATGCAGGAACTAATGACTAGACAACTGCTATAGCTGTGCAAAGAGATGATAGATAACTGTCTGAAATTTTAGAAATGTCGCTAGCTATTAAGGGATAAAAGGTTATAAAGAATCTGTGGACAAGGGGAACTGTACACTGTACATAGCAAGGGATGTGGTAAAATCTTATGGAAAGACCTAGATTCATGTTTGAGTGTTGTTTGTAGGTATTCGTTTACCCAAAGCCAAGTTACTGTTTGATGGCTGTGAACCTGGAACTGAACTATGATTTACATTGATTTGAGAAGTATGTCCGGTTGGTGTATTTATTGCTGTCACGTTCGCGTTTGAAGTAACGGGTGATTGGTGATTTGTGAAACTATGTGGACTGCTTAGTGAATGAGCATGACTGAACACTTTCTGAACACCAAAGCCAGAGACATCAGGACCAATAGTTAAAGTAGGAACAGTTCCAAAGGCTGTTGGGAATGAGTGAGAAGACGTTACAGCGTACAACCCTCCGTTACCACTCGGATTATTGGAAAGCGATAGGCTCGGATGAGCCTGAGTTAGTGCCACATATGGTTGGTAAGGAAGCGTCGGAACAATACCACCGTTCGCACCAGAACCTTGGTTGAGTGGTATCCACATTCCGCTAGCGTGTGCAGGAACGGAACGGCTTAACAGTGAGTTTGTGCCTGGCGGACAACTAATTGGAGGCGCGAAATAGGCGTTAGTTTGGCCAGGATGAGCTCCTGGAATAAATTGGAGAAACACGGCTGAATTGGGAGCAGCAGGAGACATGTTGTTAGGATTTCCAACGGAAGGTACATACGTCCCAACAATAGGCGCCGGGCTACCTGGAGTGGCAAGGCGGTATAATGCGGATATGAAGGACGCAGTATTCGGGTCTGACGGAGGCAAAACTGTAGTGCTGGGTCCTGACGCTAACAAACTACATTGATTGGCAGCCGCGGCCATAAACGCAGCAGCTTGGTTTTGAGTGTAAAGTTGTGGACAATGAAAAGCTTGTGCTGGTCTAATTGTAGATTGTGGACCGAGGTCGGATTGGTAGAACGGAGAAGTAACTGACGCGTGCTGCTGTGAGGGTGAAGAACTAGAATATATCATATTCCCTGGTGAAGTGTTTGTCAAAATCCCGAAATTGTTCGGAGTCAAGACGTGAGCGGAAGATTGAATATAGTTCGGAAGCGAATTATGAGGAACGGAGCTCATGGATTGACCCGAAACTCCCAAAACCTGTGTTGCACATGGAAAAGGGGCGTTGTTACTGTTTGCGGAAACCTGACTTCCAAATGAATGAGCTGAGACCGGACTCAGGATTGAGATGTTTTGATTTGAAGGATCAACACTGGGATGTGTAAGAGATTGACCAGAAGCTGAAGATACTTGCACAACAATTGTGTTTTGATCAGAAACCGAAGTTGCCAAACTTACACCTTGATTTACAGGACGCACATAGCCGAACTCGACGGATGGAGGACAGACTTCATTGAAATGTTTTACCAATGTTGGACAAACTCGAGTAATTCCGGCTGGTGATCCATCAGGGGAAAGCACGACCAACAAGACGTTGCTGCTGGAAACGGCATCTAGCAATTCGGATTCAGTAGCGGACACCCAGCGAAGTCTATTGAACTGTAACAGCTCGGATAGAGGGCAAACATCTTGATTGGCAGTTAGTATCGCACGCAAGTGGGAATCACGTTGTAGATTGCTTTCACTGAAGTAATATTCGCTAAAGGAAGGAAAACAAAATATTATCAGTCTGGAACTCAGGTTTAATAATATAAATACAGATTTGCTAAAACATCTTTGTATGTTGGACTGAACAACTCATAAATACCAAAGCTCACATCCGGTTTTCACGCTGTTAACTAACAGTGGAGTGAACCTAAGTTTACTTAAACTTATTTGAACAACTTGGAGGTATGTAACCTTTTAAGCATGGGTCAGAAGCGAGTTATTCTTTAGGTGTTGACTCCGAAATAGAAAGCAATTTTTTGAACGCTCCAACCCAACTAAGTTAGGGTAAATTACACGACGATCTGCACAACTACTGCCTATTACCAGTAGGACGTCGTTAGTGTAAAAAAAAAAGGTGGAAACGATGAGTATACCACTTAATTTCCAAAATCACTTTACCAATTTAAAACAGTATGCAGCCTGCTAATACCTTCCTTAAGTACAAAAACTGCACGGTATAATAGCAATATCTCAGAGAATAACTATTTGAGTACATTTGTGACGCGTGACGCGTCAAGAACATACGTGTTACGATTACTCTATTAAACCATAATTACGGATGTGATCTATCGTGTAGGATGGGTCGCTGATCAGCAATCTATAAAAACATCAGTAACAAAACTCCACACGTCATTAAAATAAGAGTACATAGTTTAATATTTTTGGTGATGAACATAAGTTGAAAGTAGAAACCACAGACGACACGTCATATTTCCACTACTTCATTTTTATACATGTAAATAAAGATATGCATTTCGCCTAATTTCTTGGTGATTCTATGCGAAAACATCATAACAACCCAACAGTATCACCAGCCCTTAGTATGTGGCTCAGCTAAGTACCTGGTGAAGGAGTTAATTATAATAACAGTTATTAGTAAGCATGAGCTGTAAAACAAAACCTCACTTACACATGATGCTTAATATAATCCAGTTTCGATAGGAACTTTAGAAACTTGGTTCGATTTACATTTTTCGGAACAAAAAACACACGATCTTCAACTATGATAATATCGTCAGCTTTTATTGGTCTTGTAGGTGCATCATCGCTACGAGGTTGGGTAGATGACGGGTTGGACAAGTCATTTTTGTTAACCGCTGATTCAGTGAGATCCGCTAAGTCGTTGTTTGATGACCCTAGAGCATCTTTTATAGCAGCAGCGACTGCACGATGCTCCCGAAGGCTTGTGGGAAAAACTACTTTTCTCCATCCCACTTCGTTAATGTATGCAATGACCTGAGTTACGTCAACCACTTCAGGGGTATCAATTGGTTGTTCTGTACCGGTAGAGGTCATGGATGATTGTGGGTTGAAACTGGGATGTACTGACTGGACAGCTGATCCATCTGGAAGAATAGGTATGGGGAGATTTTCGACTGGAAGATGTGGTAGACCTCCAATAGGATGTTGTATGGTCGGCTGAGTGGGTAGGATTTGAGTGTTTGGTAGCGACACGGTAGGAATTATTGTATGTGAAGCAGGTGTTTGTGCAATCTGTAAGGCAGGGGTCAGCATTGTTGCAGGTGCTCCTGGGATGATATATGCAACTAAACAACAAAAAAAAGAACTGAAGATTAATTAACCGACTACTATAGTGCTCGATTAATTAAGATACTGTATTGAACTTGGATGGGTAGAGATGGGTACTTGACAGAGGTGTAGGCTACTATACGAACTCATTGGTTCCTAAAATCCTATCTTACTTCAAATCTGAATTTCCCAATCAACACATCTAGAGTTATTGAAGTTTGTGTCGTGTATGCAGACTAACATAGTAATGAAATTATATGTGCAAAAACTGATTGAATAAGAATTAAAGTTAAATTTGCTTATTATTTTCTCAAAGGAATTGCACGGTGATTCATTCGCTTAGAAATGAGTGACAATACATTAGCAACACATTATCTATATTTGCGAAACGTACGACTATGTTTAATGATTTATCTACATGGTTCTGAGCCCCTATTTAAATAAGAATAATGATACTAACACCCAGCCAAAACTCAAAAACGGAGTATGAATCCGGAACTTGGTTGCCGAAGGTTGAACGGTTGAGCAACTGCGCTAAAGACAATTAAGCACTAAATGGAAATAACACTAGGAAAGATAGAACTTAAGCTTGTTCCCTTCAGCGTTACTTGACTGATATTTGACGTAAAGATCAAACTAGACAGTATTTTTATTTCTCATAGTATCCATATAAAAGAAATTACAAAGACGTGAATCAAAATAAATTGAGTAACGTACTAACACCGATTTTAAGGTGTCGCACAATCTTAGGACAATGATCTTGATAATCTACTACTTGTGGATAAAGCTTACCAGTAACGAAATCTTTGCAAATGATCTTTTAAACCAATGATACTAAGGAATACAATCAAACCAAAAGAAAATACAACCAGGAAAAGTGCTCATAACATCCGTGTACAAGCAGACAGAAAAACTATGTTTGATCCTGGGGACTGAGGATTTACAGTCAATGTAAATATTAGATTTACCCTCACATTCCATGTCCAATTACTAAGACACATCAATGAATCCTGCATTTTCTAATACGGCAGAGGACAGTACAAACAGATCTGGACCATCAGAACGGAAACACTTTGAGAACCGAGTTAAACTACGGAGAAGTTGGCAGTTGGCTCATCTCAACCCCACAAAATACCGCTTTTAGTTCGACTGATTTGATGTAGAACTCTGAACACACTGATTAAATGGCTTTTTATACCTAAGCGTGTTTGAAAATACCATCAGTAACTAAAATTACACCTGCGTGCTGCACTTATTTGGGTTACGTTTGCTTACAAGTGATATATGGTGCCGAAAGGTATGTTTAGAGTTTGTTGAGGTTAAACTACCATAAGTGACTTTTTCCTGTTTTTTTATGTTTACGTTGTTCAGTGATTCAGATAGTTGGAGATGAGATTTAGACTATTTATTAGTAACGTTTGACTTACGGACGCTTTTAGTCGTGATTGATAGGTAATACAAAAGCAAAATGTACTTGGTGCCGCAAATTTATAGCCGTTAGTACTGAAGTCAATCCATCAAGAGATGGGGTCAGTTAACAAATCACTGATTTTTAGAATGGTTTTTGGGATTAAACGACTACTCTCTAAATAGAACTTGCACAGCAGCAACCCTGTATGACTGAAGATGTTGGGTAAGTGCTCGAAATTATTGGGTGACATTTTGGACACATTATGAATGAACAAAATGTGGATGACCTAACCAGGACTAAATGTAGACAGCACACCATAACCTAAACAATGGATTCTCAAGTCTTTCAGACGAAATTTTATAATACACTATCACAACTCATGAATACCAAGATCAGTGTTACGAAATACATCAAGTAGGCAGTACAACCGAAACCTGAAAACTGATCGGATCATAGATCAACAGGAACTCGTAGAGCATATAGTCAAACCAAGAAATGTTAAAAATTACCCAGGTGTGGGTGCACGACGTTAAACATCCAGTTCAGTAAGAACAATCATAAAATTGAATATGTGTAGTCAACCACAAAACGTACTACCTCTGACTTTACTTATTGGTTAAACGCAAATATTGGTACTAAGGGGCATAAAATACATATGCACCACACAAGTCACTTGATTTGTGCATGCGATGCCATTCTGTCCGGGTGCCCTGGGACGACGCAGGTGGTTTTCTTAGAGGGCCACACCCGGAGCCTTTGACCTAAAGGTCTGATCCACAAGGCAGTGGACTAACGCCAGGAGATGCAGCCCCATGGTAGCCGGTGACCAATAATTAGCTCATACATTTTTTCCCTCAGAATTCTGGAGCCCATGTGTACCATTGGTCTGGAATCAGTTTTCCAACTCTCCTAGGTTGATCCTTAGTATCCACCAACCCGGTTAAAGCGCCGGACATTCGCTTTTGATCCTCGACTTCGTAAACAACACCCCGCCACGAGAAGACGGTGAGTAGGACTTCCCTGGCAGTGGCCCTATGAGCATTTGGAGAGCAATGTCAGTCAGTAACAACGTAGAACTTCGTACGTACGTACATCAGTTCGAGTTGCCAAACCACAGCACAGAGATGCAGTTGTCGATTCAAATCCCGTAGTGGTAGACGTAGTAAGAGTATAAGCAGTAATCGTAAAGATTAGGGTTTCAATATGTTATTTAGAGAGTAAAATCCAGTGAGATAAATTTGGGAAGAGAAAAAGAGACAAGGAGGAATCAGATTTTAAATTTGGGGGAACACAAAGAGCGTATGCACCTGCGCCATCGCAAACGATTTTGAGCCATGTCATTCAGGGTCTTTAACCATCGGTTGCTATAATCTCGCGGTCCCCAAACAGATGGTCTACACCTAGCAACATGACTCAATCCACTTGTCAGTGACTTCATGGTCAGTCAGTCAGCTACAACGTAGGACCAGGAACATATATGCATCGGTCCAAGTTGCCATGCCTCATTAACACAGCAAGATGGACACCGGATTCATAAAAGTAGTTAAATCAGAGGTGGTAATATATAGAAGAAAGATTGTAATAAGGATATAGTAGCACAGGAAGAAAGAATTAGTTCGTAGAAAGATATGAAGCGATTTCAATCTCTTAGTTTAAGGGAAGACTTGTGCCATGTTTTGGTCTGGCCGCCCCTAGCTTTCTTTCAGCCTACTCCTATACCACTGAACATCGCACATCGAGGCAGTCGGTCGTTGGGCATACGTAACACGTGTCCCATCCATCTCAACTGATGAAGTTTCACTACGTCATCAATCGGTTTGCCATCCTTACCTAGTACCCGTTTCCTAACAACTGCATTACTTACTCGATGGTCCCAGGATATACGAGCAATGTTTCGAAGACACCTATGATCGAACACTAGCAGTAAAAATCAATATATCGCCAAAAAACATCTAACAGCGAATACTGTGCAGGAGTAACACTACAAGCTTAGTCACAATGTCAAGAAATTAAAACCAATTGGCATGAATTGCAGTCGAGACATGTACACTATTCACTTAATCAAGACCTTACGTGGACCTTATCCAACAAATTAAGGCGTCACTTACGAAGAATATACGGACATAAAGATCTCGTATAAATAGGCTAGTGATTTGTCATGGGTTGTGGACGTAAATCATTGTGATTTAAGGAAGGGATTAGTAGTTACACAAAATTTTGAGTGGCGAATGTATGAGCGGGCGATTAGCGGCTCAACATATAACCAAAGCAAACATTCGTAAGCGCATAACATGAATATTACTTACTTTGAGGTAGAGTTTGAAAGGGAATAAGAGGTTGGATGGAGGAGTTCGCAACCAGAGTAGAGTGTGAATTCAAATTGTGAGTATCGGTTTCGGTGGGGAACATTGGCTGATGCTGGCGTTGGTATGATCGTCTAGCACGGCCAACGGGACCTGCATCATAATTAGATGGGATGTTAGTTGACTGGCTACCCGACTGCGACGAAACATTGGATCTCTCGCGGTAAACTTTGCGGGGTGTTGGATTAGGCATAGAGGAAACTGAGCTTGGTTTGTTATTCTGCAAGTCTGTGTCTGTTTGTTGACCTGACACATCAACCGATTCTGACAGATGTAAACCGCGATCTGAAACCTTTTCGTCAAGAGCTGATACATCTGTACTCAAATGAACATCAACTGAGACGCTACATGTATCACTAGCTTGAACTGGGCTATTCTTTTGACTAGGTTCGTTTGGATTTTCTTTAGGTTCACTAACTGGCCGTACGTTTCCTAAACGACCAGGATGACGATAGAACCCATTACTGTTGCGACCTCTGTTTGCATCAGGTAAGATGCGACTTCGATAACCTCCATAACCTGAAGAATCACAGAACGTTAATCTCTTACCCCTGCGAAATGGCCTGACATTACTACTGGTGTAGTTAGCTCCGGCAAACGGTCCAACTGTATGGCGACCACGCCCTCGAGGGAAACCACAAGTAGTATCATCTACTTCGTAATTATGCCACTTCAACTTTCCTGAAGAGACATGAACATTAGTTTTCGACTTACTTTTAGGCTTTTCCTCTGCAATGCGAGTAATACGCCGCTGTTCAGTAGGTGCCGATGGTTCAGGCCAAGCGTCTGCTTCCAAAGAATTGTTTTCGGAACTAGGAACTACTGGGGGGATAAGCATCGTAAATAACTTACTTGGCTTCCATGGGTTACCCTTAGAACCCTTGTCTTCATCCCCATTGGCACGCTGAACGTTAGACAAGTCATTGTGACTACTTTTCTCCGACCGCACGCTTAGCTGAGCAAATTTCGAAGAAAAGTCGCTCATTACAGAGGTCTATGGAACGCCTGTAACAAGAATATTGGTAGGTTATTAGCACAGGCAGGTTCAAAGACTTGAAAAACCTTGAGAAATGAAACCAAACTAAAAAAACTACACATAAATCTACAGTGCACTTCCGAAATACTAACAGCGATAGAGAGTGCCAACGCCAACCACGACTTACTGAACCAACACAGTCAAAATAATGTGTCACTGGAGGAAGAACATACAGATAAACAAAATCTTATCTTTATAGGTAAAATCTGTAACAAATCTTTATTTGTAAAACGGAAGCTATGAGGCCATATGAAACAAAGTTATGAAACATGACTTTCTAAAGTATGCTTCGAGCCTTACGTCTCCTATCATCATCGGTCATGCTAATATGCAGACGATGTCAAGATATGGAGAACGATACGATGTAAAGGTGATAGCTTAGAATTCCTGAATGACCTGAAGAAATTTTCTGAATGGTCTCAAACCTGACAGTTGCCGATAAATACTTCCAAGTGTGTTGTGATGCTTATCGGTCATCAAGGTACAGATACATACACGATGAATAACACTGAGGTACCTGTCGTCCAGATACATAATGACTTAGGAGTTATCGTTGGCCAAGACTTAAAGACTACTGCACGCTGCCATGCGAAATCCGCCAAAGGTTTTAGAACCTTATGGTCAATACGTGGGCCTTTTAGTCATGTCGACGCTAAAATGTTTTTGACATTGTATACAGTGTTCGTACGCCTTAAACTTGAGTACTGTATAAAAGCGGCTAGCCCCTGCTTAAAAAAGGCAGTGAGCTTCTGGAAAAGGTTCAGAGAACAGCAAATAAGCTGATTCCCGGAATAGCGAAGCTTCCGTATGATGCTCGACTGGCCAAGCTAAACGTTTTCCCGTTGTCATATCGTAGAACTAGAGGCGACTTGATTGCAGTTTTCAAATTGCTTAGTGATAAATTCGCACCTGAAATGCCCTCATTATCCCTGTCTTCCAAAACAGAGGATTTACGAGGACACTCCAAAAAAGTTCACAAGCCCAGAACAAATTACTTGTCACCTGACTATCGACTTCCCCAACGAATCATCAATGAGTGGAATTCATTACCTCAGCACGTGGTTGAGGCTCCATCCGCCCACCCTTTAAAAAGAAAGTTGGATCAACCGAGAGACCATCATTGCCAGGACTAACACAGGCCATCAGACCTCCTGTCCCTTCCAAACTGAAACTGAAATAAGAAAATCTGGTTTACAAAAAGTTAAAACTTTTTTCCAGTCACCCAAAGACTAAAAGTGATGAAAAGCTAGTCGACAGCCAGAAAGATTGACTGGCGAATAACACGTAGAGAAGTTGCTTTTATTTCCACTGGATATGAAGAAAGCATCGAACCTTCTTTAAGATGAATCAGTAGGTGTATTTTTCATGTAAGGCTAGCGAATTGCAAATTTTTTGGACTTTGAGCAATAAACAGTCTGCACATATATTCGTGTATAGTGTTACATGTCCTGACCTTAGATGGTGCTCGCTTATCAGTAGTTTAATAGGGAAATGTATCGTTAATCTAGTGACATAAAGACTGAAAAAGCTTTAATAGATCGTGACTATACACCCCCCATTATCCTTCCGTACTACGTGTGTCACGAATACGATGAGTCCAAGATAACTGAAAGAGGTTTATTCCTTAGTCCGAGTTAATACGAGGCCATCAGGTTTTAAACTCACTCCTTGGGAACAATGTTCTTTCTGAGGTAGAGGGGGCCTGATAGAGATGTTTCTAATTAAAAACGGAAGATAATTTTGAACAGATCATGGGTCAGTCTTTCTGAAGTCCTGAGGAAAAAGTGTGTTAGACGTATATAGTCGATTGAGTCAACCAATAGGCTGTTGTTATAATAAAAAAACATCTAGGGGTCACCTTTCCGCTTCCTATCCTGTTTTCTTCTACTGAATAGTGAAATATTTGAGTGTTCGAATAAGTTAACCCCTTATTCCACTTTTAATCTTGTGCTTTGAATGATAAGACCGACTGCTGGTACTATGAACGTATCTGCGAATTTGCATACCTTTTACGTATATTTCCAACCAAGCTGCCGTATTGTGATTTATCAACGCTTAGTTGACGCGTCCCGGTCAAAGTACAGAAGTTATAAAAAACAGTCCGGGATTCCAGAATCTCGGGTCGTAATGACCGGCAACTTAAACTGGCCTATTCCCCGATAAATCCGCGTTTTGTAGCATTATTTGTTCTATGTTCTAGTTTGGTGGATGGAGGTAGTTGACTACATCATAATTCGTTTTCAGGTTGGACATGGACACTTCTTAATTGACAACTAATCTCTTCGTGTTATCAGCTCATAGTCTAAAGCTCTATGATAGTCATCGATAGTGCCAATCTAAAGCTAAAGTGATTTGGAGTTAGCAACAATTGTAGAGGTTAGTTCAGATACTCATACTCTTACCCAGTCGAAATTCATACAAAAATGGTTGGGTAGGGAAAGGTTTACATACAGTTTTAATTTTTGCTTTAGATTATTATCCAAATAAATACTGCCACCTCGTTATTTACCCATTGAGTGTTCAGCAATCTCAGTCAAATCATTTCTAAAAAATAAATGCTTCTGTTAATGCAGGAGCATCACCCAATGCGATACGGAGAGTCAGTCAGAAGTAGCTTAGTGAGAAGGTATATGTGTACTAAATAAGAAGCACAACTACCAAATCACTGATGAAATTGTAGTAGTATTAGTCCTCGCTACGCAAACGTCACAGCTGAACATAAGATAATTAAGCCAATTCATATTCAGCAATTAGCACGAAGAGGTCAACGATGGAGAAGGTGGAAAGAAAAATAATTAATCTAATAAATTGGATGGCATGGTTCAGCCTTGTAGACGTGGTTATTTTGTATAACTCGTCTTTACTCACATTAAATATATTATTCTACCTCTAGCCCAAATGTGTTCTTTACAAGCTCCAGATATCATGTTGTTAATTGTTACGATACGATGAATCTGTAGACCATGATGTGACTTCCACGTAAGATCTTATAGATTAGGCTGAAAGACATTACAAACAGATGTCATATAACTAATCCTAAGAATGATACTAGAATGATCGAACGTTCAAATCCCAATTCATTTGATTCGGTATATAAAACTGAGAAATGCCATCACTTACATTGAGTTGAATGAATGTTCCTGCGTCCTCCATTGTTAACCTTCTCTTTGTGTCAATTGTTGAATATAAATCCTTCCAGTAGTTATATGCTCATCTTCAAAGGTCGTATGGCCAGAGTCCAATGCCACTACAGATTTTCTGGGTTTTGTTTCCATTACTCCAAATGTATTAGCTCATCTAATTGTTTATAAACTAACCACAGGCAGGCAACCATCTGATTTCGAAATATATGAGCCTTGAGGTAGTCTTAAGCTAATGCTCTTTAATATACACAAGCAGCACCAGAAATACTTGAGTGTGAATCGTCGAATATGGGCAAACGCTACCAAAACACAGTTCTGTATTCGAATAAGGACAAAAACTTGGACAAATGTTTATAAAAGAGCACTGTTATTGGGTAATATAATATCGAAGTAAGCGTTTTGAATACAGGGCACCCATACAGATATAATAGTCATTACAGTGATCGAGTACAAGAGTATGGGAACCAACGGTTATTATACAGAAAAGCACGAATTGCTGGACAATTTGAACGAAGTATACTCGATACAATTGAAATGAAATATAAGGAATATGAGTTCGTAAATGGATAAATAGAAATGAATTGATAAAAAAACAGGGAAACGACTCGTGGTTTGTACGATTTAACGACATGCATATTCAAAATAAAGACCACATTTTCCTTATTTGTATTTTTTCATATGTAATAACATCTATATTCGGTATCTATTGTTTCTCTGTATCAATGGTAATAAACGGATATAATCGTTTGGTTGTACCAATAGATATACACACTACCGTTGTTATAAAAAATAAACGTTATCTCTGTCGTTCGTTCTTCCACCTGAATAATATCGTCATAACATCCTTTCAGGCTATTCTACACTGCGTTGGAGTTTTGGCCTAGATTATTACTGAATAATACTATCAGATGTATCTCTCTCATCATGCCGCTGATGCCACCTTGGGCAGAGGAACTTTTGTCAATCAAGTGAACCGGTTTGCGTTTGTTGACTCAGAAGGAGCCTAAAATTAATAATTAATTTATGACAATTATTATCATCGTTTTTGTTATAACCCAGTGAAGATTAAATTACAGGTAACTCCCGAGGACTACTAATGGACTAATATTCTATAAATATTCTTAATGTATAACTATTCGACAATTACATTATGTATATTTATATTCCTCTTATTACAAGCTTTACTTTGACCTATATTTCATTACTGTACGATTTACGATTCTTAAGCCATGCTCAGTCTATTAATTACTGTCCCCGTCGTTCACAGCCACTTATGGCTTATTTCTGTACACATGTTATTTTCCATTTTATGGTACGTTGTGGTCTGTCTGATTGATATATAAACCGGGTATGTCTGAAATAAACGATCTGCTCGGATTCGATTCATATTACGGAAGTTGGTATTGTGTTCTGGACTCAAGTGGAAGGGCTCGGAGGACATAGGACCAATAAGGACGCTAAACTGCCCACACCGGTTGAACGTCATTGGTTGGTCTAGTGTGAAGATCCTTATAAGTCGTATTCGGATTGGTAGATAAATCGTGTGATAGAAAAGCCAGACATCCAAGGTCATAACAGTTTTATTTAATATATTATTTTTTGATGGTGTTATTTGTTTTCGTTTGGATTCACTCATAAACAGACACTTAGGTTTGTAGTGTTAATTCTTCTGGTATACCATCAGTAACTGTGCGTATTGTTACATCTTGTATTAGCTTTTTTACTGTGATCCATGACAGTGGAGCTGAACTGAAAAATGTAAAGCGAATAGTCGAGATTGCATCCCAACTCAGTAAAACAACTACAAACATAGATCAAAATTTTGACAAAACTATATCAAGGGGTGTGTAGCGGTAAATAAATCTCCAAAATAAATAGCTCTGTAAGTTTTCGACATTGGATGCTGACCAGATTAGTTTTAGTGGACTCACCTAGCTGAAGGCGCTCGGTCATGCATCTGCACCAGATCACGTGTGGGAACGCCGTGCTCAACATCTAATGCAATCGCT